TAAATAAGCCCATTAGGTATATGCAGAAATATTCTAGCTAAATCTTTATCTTAGCCTTATGTCACCCATGACCAAGCCCCAATTCTTGTGTAGACTCATGATTGCCATTGCTCACAAAAGATGTAATAGTAAAATCAGAGGAGGGCAAATAAAATAATCAGGCAGAAGCACTGAGCAAGTGGGGCTACTCATTCTCCAAAGTCAAGTCTCAGCCATCTTTCAGCCCCTGTTCTCCTCCTCTCTGCAGAGCTGGTCCCAGCGGCAGTGCTGAGGGTCAGCAGGGGGATCCAGCATCCTTGCAGCTGCCCTGGCTCCCCCTCATGCTCTTTTCCTCCCCTTGAAGGAGAGACAATAGCCAGGCCCAAGACTGAGTGCCATTAGTGACCTGTCTAGTGCCACAGTGAATGAGAGTTGGGGATCAGGAAGGTGAGCAGACATACGACCAAGGTCGAAGCCAGCAGTCTGTTACAAAACTAGCTGGCTCAGGCAGAGTGGGCCAAGTCTGCCAAGTCCAGATCAGGAATCAATGAATAGGAAGGTCACAATTACAGTAACTAGTGAGCCAAGTAGAAAATGGACTAGATTTGCATCGACAGATGTGGCAGTTTTTTCTAGAGACTAATGAGGCGTTTAGAGGATAGATGAGCAATTTGGAGCGTTGCCCCTTGAGTCACAGCCCAGTGGAGTAAACTACACCACTTCAGAAAAACTTGCCTGATACTGACTCCCAGTCTGCTTGGAAATGGGGGCTGTCCTCTGTTCTTAGATTTAGTTTAATTTAGTTTTTGTTTTTTCCACATTATTTTATTGGTGCATTATAGTTGTACATATTGCTGGGATTTGTTGTTACATATTTGTACATACACACAGTATAACGATATAATTTCCCTCCTCCTTCCTTTCCTCCCACCTCTTGGTCCCTTTCCTTTATTGATCTCCCTTTGGTTTTTAGGAGATCCACGTCCATCTCTTTTTTTTTTCCTCTCTAGCTCCCACACATGAGAGAAAACATGACCCTTAACTTTCTGAATTTGACTTATTTTGCTTAACACAATGATCTCTAGTTCCATCCATTTTCCTACAAAGGATATAATTCCATTTTTCTTTATGGCCAAATAAAACTGAGTTGTGTATATATACCACATTTTTTTTATCCATTCATTTGTTGATGGACACTTAGGTTGGTTTCATAGTTTGGCCATTGTTAACTGTGCTGCTATAATCGTGGGTATGCATGTATCCCTGTCATAGATGACTTTAATTCTTCAGGGTAAACACCGACAAGTGGTATGACTGGGTCATACAGTGACTCCATGCCTAGTCTTTTGAGGAGCCTCCGTACTGATTTGCACAGTGGCT